GAAGAGGAGCGACGGTAGGGCGATGGTGAACGGCGTCTGGTTGATCGATGACTACTGCGCAGTTCACCGGACGCTGGCGGAGATGGAGACCGACGCGGCGGTGACGAATAACGACGGCCCTGGTACAAGGCTCCTGCGGTATAGTCTCGTTCGCGTATGTCGTACCCTCGGCGCTCATCTTGCTGGTGCTTGCGGCAAAAGCGTGAAATGTGATCACGATAGCCGCAATATTAGCACGTAGGGCGAGTCGATCGATAAGGAGGGCAGTAGCTTGTGTTAGATGCACCGGGAGAGAGAGCAGTGAGAGGGACAGATGATGGCTCAGGCGGTGGTGATGGAAAGCGCGTGGGAAAGCTTCTGGGAGGTGCGGCAACAACCGACGCGTACGTTGGTGGCGGCGACGTCGAGCTGACGGTGCCTGATGGTGCGGCGACGGCATGCGAGAACGATGGGAGAGTACGAGCGACAGTGGGCTGCAGGTGAACCATGTGGGTCATGGACGTGAGCTCCTCCCTGATGACATCCCGCAATGACGCTGAAGAAGACTGAATGGGACACACTGAAGGTAGTGTGAATCCCATTGATTCTAATTCTTCGCATATAATCACCCTTATTGTGTCTCGTAGGTTTGGATCTGCCGTGATACGGGCCGTGTCACTGTCCGGTTGTAGGCGCATAGACTCAAGTTCTTCGAGGCGCTGACAGGTTGTCGCAACGTCAGCAACAGTAGCTGGATTCTGGATTGCAAGGGCATTGAATGCGACGGGTGCAATCCCCTTAAGAAGCTGGCGTACCTTGTCTGACTCAGTCATAGGGGTTTCAACCCGCCGGCAAAGTGAAAGGGCATCCTCGATGTAGGATGTATACGACTCCCCAATGTGCTAATTCCGAGCCGCGAGAGCTTTCTTTGCGAGAGCCGAACGAACAGTCGGTGTGCCAAAGACATGGCGAAGCTGATCTTTGAAGGCTGACCAGTCGGGGATGTCGATGAAGTGGTTGAGGAACCACGTCTTCGCGACACCCGTGAGGCAGAATGACACGTAAGCGAGTTTGTAGGTGTTATCCCACCGGTTAGCAGTGCCGACACGTTCGAAATCGTCCAGCCATTCCTCCACATCTTCCCCGCGCACACCGGCGAAGGGACGGGGCTCACGCTGGAGGCTGTTAATGACGTGAAAAGGCGCGGCACGCAATGGCGGAGGAGGAACGGTTGCAGCATCGACCTCTTCTTGGTGCGACATATTTCCAGACACCTAGCCCAAGCGGCGACCTGAACGTAGCTCCAGGGGGTAGAGTGGTCGAGAGGATGACGAGGGATCTAACAGCACGCTCCACCACGTATGAAGTCTTGGTTTGGAAGACCTTTATTAGGCCCGAGGAACCGGCAGCCGACAGCGGAGATGCACGAACCAAGATGATGATGATACGTGACAACGATGAGGATGCATGAGCAATACATGATAATGGTGATAATGTACAGATGAAGAGGATTGATATATATATATATATATATATATATATATATATATATATATATATATATATATATATATATATATATCTGTGCGCAGCATGTTCCCAGTCTTCTGTATCTGTGCGCAACAGCGGGGTTCATGAATGCGAGTGTAGCGACATCGCAGCTGATAAGCACGCGGCAAGCGAGAGCGAGCGAAGATTACGAATCCGACCGCGCGGACCGACAATCGCTTTTTGCAAATACAAAACTTTAAGGCCTAACGACGTGCATGCTATTTTCAAGCAACGACGACAAGATTTGCTGTCGCGAAGGGTCCTTTGTGTTTATCGCTTCTCAGGTTTCTAGAAAACCAGAAAAAAAAATTTCTTGTCACCCAGAAAAAATTGTGACAATTTCCACAACATGGTACCACCCCCTATACTCGCCTTGCTTGTTCGCCGCACGTACAGAAACTTCTCATGTGGAAGTGAGGCAGTTGCCATATTGTTACGTCTACGAGAGGGGTTTATTCAGAGCCGACGTAACGGTCGACTCGACGGTATACAGCAGTGAACGCGCACCAGCGAGCTCTTGCCACCAACCGAACGTCCTCTTGTTCTGCCACCACCATGTTCCCCGCTACACAGGTGCACATACCTAAATTACACATGTGGTAACAATATTTTGTCGTTAATCTTGTTATCAACAGATTGTTTTATTGTTTCAGTGGTAGCTCGCTGCAATGTTCGTTACTTGCTACAATGACAACAGCGCCGTCTTGCGAGATTGCCGCGAAGTTGGTAAAATACGTCGTAGCACACACTTTTGAATGCCCCTCGAGATCACAGCCGATACTACTGTTGCGGTTAAACGATTGCGAGAAAAGATAGCCGCACAGCGCTTTAATGGCGTGCGTGGGCGGCATGAACACAGCTTGCAGAAGTAGCGCCATCAACCACAGAAGATGAGTAAAGTACAACAAAGAACCTGTTTCCGAACAGTTTACACGTATGCGAAAAGCTAAGTGACCTAACTTTTTTTTTTTTTCATTACAGCATTTTAGCTCATGCCAGAAAAGTTTTTTAGAATCTTCCTTGCAGAATAAACGCATCCCAAACTTTGCCCCGATTTTTCGATAAAAAAACTACGTTCATTACTTGAGTAAATACAGTATTTTTTTACTGCAACCGCGTATCGTTTGCGATTAGAGTCCATATATATGGCGTTGGCGTATGTGAGTAAAGCAATGCAGAACTAACACCACTGCAATCCCCATCGTGATTGATATATCTCTAACCTTCAGCTATAGTTGCACTCATCGGAGCTTTGGTTGTGGTCTTCAATGAGGTTGAATTTCATTGTTCCACAGAAGTACTGGCAGCCAATTTTTGAAAGCGGCAACGGCCTGTTCACAACAAGGAAAATAATTATCTCATAAGACTCGACCACTTTCTGCAGTAATTAAAATATTAATTAATGTTATTTAAGCACTGCCGCAATTACAGTGTCTAGAGATTTCAAGATTTCTGGCGTCGTTCCGGGAGCCGCATAAAACTGATCTGCGAGCCGCATGCGGCCCGTGGGCCACAGGTTGCAGACCCTAGAGATAGAATGTGCCAAAAATGGCGCAGTTTGGTGCAATTGACGTCAATTTTATCAGGTTGGCGCAGCCAATCTCGTTTGGCGCACTTAGGCACAGTTGGCGCAGGAATGAAATCCCTGCCGTTGCTCGAAAACCAAAAGGCGATATGCCCCCAAGGCTATAGCGTTTTTTCCTCAGTTTGCTGCGTTATGACCTTAACTTATAATTCCAGGGAAGCAGCTCGTCCTTGCCGACGTGCGCACAAGAACCACAAGCAAGCAGTCGGGTGACATTGACAGCGACGGTGTAGAAGTCCATGCGGTGTGATGTCTTCATTAGTGAACGACCGAACATGAAAGTGGTTGGCAGCAGAAACGGAAAAGGACCAAGAGCTTAAAGACGTTCTGAAAAATCTAGAATCCGGAGAGGATATGAGGGGCCAATGGAAGCAATTTTAAGCAGAACTATCTTAAGTTAAAGGCGTACTTTTGAAAGGCTGTAAGGTGGTAATACCGGCTTCCATGAGATGTGAAATGCTAGATCGCGTTCACCAAAGTCATTTAGGTGTCAACAACTGCAAACCAAGGAAGGGCAAGACAACTTGTTTTGTGGCCTGGAATAAATCAAGATATCGAATCAATCTGCCATATGCGTACTTTCTGCATAATGCAGAAAGTACGCATATAAAGAGCCGGCAGAGCCTTTTAAGATGCGCCCAGTACCACCCCAGCCTTGATACCATGTAGGGGCGGACCTTTTCCAATATGGCGGTAGAACATACTTATGCTTTTATGACGCGCTCTCCAACTTTCCCGAGGTAGAGTTGCTCAAAAACATATCTTCGAGAGCGGTCATAGAAGCAGCAAGTGCCATCTTCGCCAGATATGGCATAGCTGTTGAACTTTGTACCGATAATGGGTCGCAGTTTTAAGCCATGACTTCACTGCATTTTCCCAGCTGTACGATTTAAAACATGTCAATTCAAACCCGAGGTATCTACAGTTAAATGGCCTCACAAAAAAAGGAGTACAGGTCATTAAGAGAATACTAAAGAAAACTACAGACGTGAAACAAGACTTTTGGCTTGGATTACTTTTGGCTTGAATACTGCCAATATCACAGTGTCAAGCAATTTCAAGATACCCGGCGTCGTTCCAAGAGCCGCATAAAATCGCCCTGCGAGCCACATGCGGCCGTCGGGCCACAGGTTGCGGACCCCTGATATAGACGGTTTGGCACAGTTTGGCGCAATTTGCATCGATTTTATCAGGTTGGAGCAGCAAATCTTGTTTGGCGCACTTTGTCGCAGTTGGCACAGGAGTGGGATACCTGCATATGAAATCGTTTCAGCTGATCCGATGTCGTCATCGTAACCTTTGAATGACATCGTGCACATAGCTTGACTCGAGTCTTATCACCCTCCTTCCACCGCATGCGTGTAGAACAAGCACCGAGACAATACTTTTACCGCCGGGGGGTCATGATACAGAAGAGCCGCCGCAGCCTTGAAGAGAAAGACGACGATTGCTGGTTGTTGTTCGACTGGTACCATCTTGTTCACCCAGTACTTCGATTATTTAAGTAACCTACCCATAACATTATTAATACTTTGTTTTGTCTTAAAGAAGGCCACAGCGATTGGTAAAATAGTTTTGCCTCTTCAGACGTGGACTTCAATCAGTTACTCTAATTTCTGTTTAAGAGATGATAAAACATTTCATGGGCCACCAAAGGCAGCACCCCAAACTTGCTGTCCAGTTAGCTCGCCCCAGATTTTGTTGGTTGAGAGGTGGTCACCCTAGGAGTGCCTGCTGCACCAGGCATTCGTCTTAATTCATCAAAGGCTGTTTCAGACCTGTGCAGTCAACATGCTATGTCTGCCCAAGAGTGCGACACAATCCCATGAATTCTCGTTTGCATTGAGAGTTTAACTATGGTGGCAAATGACCAAGCGGAGCTCACCATTTCGAAGAGCAGGCGCACCAACTTTTCACTCTCGCCCCGGTACTTGGAGGTGAGAGTAGACGAGGAGACATTGAAGAATGTTGTGCTGCACTCTGTGGCCACTGCCTTGGCGAGCATGGTTTTGCCAGTGCCCGGTGGGCCAACCATCAGCACACCCTGTCAGGAGAACACGCCTTCAGTCTGACTGTATTCACAGGACTCCACAGTGTACTGGCCAGTAGTGATGGCACATCGAGAGTCAAGAAAGAGGTCCTAATATGTGAAAACTTGTAGCAAACAGTACATACAACAATGAAATGGAAACCACGTGAGGCTGCACGCATAGTTGAAATAATGCGGGACAAGAGGCCACCAGGTGTGGTGAGCCCAGGAAATGAATCAAGGCATAAGATTCGACAGCTTAGCTGGGTCATGTCCAAACATAACAGCATGAATACCAGGTATTGTAGCACATATACGGGAAGGGGCAAAGCCAACCTTATCTTAGGTATTTTCTTAGGTATTTTCATTCATAGTTATTTTCGAGATCCTTTTCCTTCACTGCTATTGCTCATTTGCCCATAACACCTGCCTCCTTTTGTTAGGCCGTCCTTCATAATCCAATGCACTTGTGAATTTTTTTTTTTCATTTGGTATTAATGTAAGCTAGAAACAGGGGCAAACCAAACATTATTTATGACCAACACGTGCACGTGTTTTACATGTGTGCTGTGGCTCACATGAAATGCCACTTGACATGCTCTCATGGCTATCCAAGATAGCACAGGACGAAGTATTGTGGGTATTCAAACAGGGAAAAGACCTTCCAAGGGCGGCGGATGCCCTTGAAGAAGTCGGGCATCCACATGGGCAGCACGACCGCCTCCTCCAGCAGCTTCTTTGCCTCATGCAGGTCGGCTATGTCGTCCCAGCGCACACTTGGGTTTCGCTGGAGAATGTCTCGCTCCAGCAGCTCCACCAGCTCATGGTCGTAGCCAATGCTGTCAAACTTCTTCTCCTGCTGCTCAGCCTCCTGAACCAAACAAGCACTGTGCTTACCACCAGAAAAAAAACGCACAAGCATCATGTCTCTGCTCTCAGAAGTATTCTGCATTTAGGAACCATGATGATTCAAGGTAAAGCGTCGCATCAGCATTTCAATGTTTCCCGAGAGTTCCAGGTATCCCCTGAGCATTGTTGCGAAAGTGGCACATAACTTTCTGCAATGTCTGCAACGCTTTCTGCAAAGATGACACCATGCCACCCAGTGCTGTCACTGTCTAGTAAGCAAGTGTAACACTTTACGAGTCAATTTTTCTAAGCTTTCCATTAGGTCACATTAGATTAATGTGGATTTTGAATCTACGAAATGTGTTAAGTTGAGAAAAATATATATTAAAAAATCAGGAACAGTATTTTGGCGTCAGCATCATTTATAACTGCAAAATGTATCATAGGCGGTGCTCAAGAAGTTCAGCCCTGTGCACCAGCGGAAGTTTACATCTTTACCTATCTCCGGCCAACATTGCCGTGGTCGTTCAGCGATTTATTGTGAGATGTTCCGATTTCATATCAAGAGATGAGAAAAGGTATCACAACAACTAGTGCTGGGGACGCCGCTGCGCAGCCAAGCACCTTAGTTGTCATATTGTCACAAAACAACACTCAACTAGGCTCGAGCGCCAAAAGCGGGTTCGCCTTCAATGTGCGTGCAATAAAAAAAAACAACCATTAAAGACAGCGCGACAACACATCAGACATTGAGCGGCGGCGTGTTAACTTCTACCACCTGGAAGCAGCCGCCGGCATTGCCTAGGAAGACAGAGAAGGATCGATAGAGAAGAAATGATGGTGCGGCTTGCAACGCCACGGTAAGCGGGATGTCTCAGAGAAGACTGAAAGTGCCCGTAGCTTTCGCTGTGCTGCATGCAAGCGAAGCATCTGTCCGAGACTGACAGCTCCCCACCGCTGCATGCTTTTATAGCCTCGCACCAGGCGGTTCAAGGGCCTTCGCTTGCGTGCAGCACAGCGGAGGCTACGGACACTTACAGTTTTCTTAGGTACTTTCCACTGATGGTGGCGTCCCAAGCCGCGCAGTCATTCCTTTTTTCTCGATCTTTTTCCGTCTTTCTAGGCGATGCCAGCAACTGCTTTCAGGTGGCAAGGAGGTTGACTCGCCACCGCTTGGTGTCTGACGCATTTTCGCGCTGTCTTCAATGGTTGTTTTTTTCGTTACGCACGCCCTACGGTACCAACGCAAAGCAAATTTTAGCAGCGCTCCGGCAGTCTTCGTTAACAAGGTACATAGTTAGAGCCAGCATTACCGTGACTTTCTGTCCCTAAATAAAATTTCAGCTGATTTTCCCCGAGAGAAGCCCAAATTCCCTGAGTTTTCCTCGAGATACCCTGAATATTCTTTTTTGCTCCTCCATGGTAGTATTGGCTGCAGGTAGAGAGAGCAGGCTCGCACTAAACCTATGCCCATGAGAATGGCTTGCTTTTCATTCGGAGGAGCTTCTTCCACCATGCTGTGGCGGCAAGAGACATTGCAGGCAACCACAGGGCAAGAACTGACAAGTGGCTGTATCCCAAACAATGAACTCAAAGGTGCCCTGGCCAGCTACACCTGCTGGCATCATTGCAATGTGGCACAACATTCTTGGCAAATCATCCGGCCTGATGATCAGCACCGTCATCATTCACGAATTGACACAGGGCAAGAACTGACAAGTGGCTGTATCCCAAACAATGAACTCAAAGGTGCCCTGGCCAGTTACACCTGCTGGCATCATTGGAATGTGGCACAACATCCTTGGCGAATCATCCGGCCTGATGATCAGCACTGTCATCATTCACGAAATGACATTCTGATATGCGGAATGGCAATGATAGGCCACTGGTGCCGCTGGTACACAGGTTGCACAGCAGCGGAAAGAAGCCATGTGCACCCAAGGCACTCGGGTGGTCAAAGGCACTGGCACATGTTGTACAAAGAAGACTGTCGTGACATCACTGCCACTAAATTAGTACGCCAGGTTGCACACGACCAGGCCTGTTTTTAGTACCAAAGGCCAGTACTAAGCCATTGTCGCAGTCACCAGTGTCCACAGCTTAGACATGGCAAAGCTGAGTTGGCTGCCAAATCCTGCAGCTAGTTGCGTACGATATGGCCAACCTTCACCAATTCAAGCACCTCTTTATTACTGGTCACACTGGACTGGACAGCCATCATATCGACGAGTCTTTTTAGGGTCAGCTAGGGGTGCTGCCAGACAGACACACTTTTCAAATTGCAACTTGCCATCAGCAGAAGCAATCTTTTGATGAAGTCGTCACCAAACACATCCCAGCAGTCAAAAAGACTGGTGACGTGGTACCATACACTTCTATGCAAAGCGGTAGTGATGACGCTATCAGATGCAATATCCATACCTACTCTGGAGATTTCCGCAACAGGGGGGGGGGGGGGGCACAAAATAAAACATAAAACAAAAACAAACAAAAAACATTGGGAAAAACAAAGGGACGGGGGAGGGGGGTCTCAATCGCAAGCTCAACATCAGCGTTGCGGTCTTATAGTGGCTAGGAGTGGCCAAACACACGATTGTAGAGTTTTTTACTAAGGTGAGAGTCTCACAGAATTAACACAACTAGCAGAATCTACTTCAGTCAAAACAACTCACGTGTGTCTCCCTGGAACACACGTGAACGGACGGGACAGCGCAGCTGGCTGCCGCGAAAGCACTGGTCAAAGCTTTGCTCACTACTAGATTCTTTTGACAGGAATGCCAAAACGCACCTGGCCCCTTTTTATTGCGATATCAATTATATGGACAGTCCACACTGTTTTTTGCCATCGCCACCGCCACCGTCTTTCACTGTATATGTATTGTAGGCATTCATTAAGCACATCTACTTTCTTCACACATCTTCATCATCATGAGTGGTCGTCTTCTTCATCTGCTGTGGGGAGTTGGCTTGCCTGAGTTCTGTGCCTTGGCTGTGGTTGCTTCATCGCGTTGTGGGCCTAGTAAAGGTTGCCTTCACCGTTGCATCACTAGTGGTGGAGTGTGCTCTGCGATCTTCCGTCCTCTCCCAGCCCCCGCTCTACGTCCTGGAGCTCCGCTCAGGTCGTCTGTGCCAGGTGTCCTGTAACATGCCTCAGGACGAGCCAACCGGCGCTTCTGCATCTACATCCACGGCCCCGGCTACCGCGACCTATCCATCGTGGATTATCACCGCGCACCAGGTGAGCCACCCCCGTTCGCCGGACTTCGAGGTGAAGATGTGGAGGATTAGTTGAACCAGTTCAATCGAGCGAGTTCCACTAACAACTAGGATGATCCTACCAAGCTTCGTCGCGTTTCTTTTTATCCGACAAGCATAGCGAAAATATGGTATTTCAGTAATGAAACGGACATCACGAACTGGACACATTTCAAGCAACAAATTTTCGGAACCCCGGCGGTTCGTTCAGCTCTCGCGAAGAAGATACTGGATGCTCACAAGCAACAATGCGGTGAGTCTTATACCTTGTACATAGAGAATGTGCTTCCTCTATGTCACCGTTTCAGCACGTCCATGTCTGAATCAGAGAGAGTTCGTCATCTATTCAAAGGGATCGGCATGGTCGCGTTCAATGCCTTGATCATACAAAACCCGACCACAGTCGCTGTCGTTGTTGCTACGTGCCAATGCATAGAGAAACTTGAGTCCCAACGGTTACCGCTGGACAGCGCTGAAAACACCACCACGACTGATTCCTCATTGCGTGCTATGATCCGGGCGATTATATGGGAAGAGCTGCAATCTTTCAGCCTCTCAACGACACCCAAGTCCACCTCCCCCTCCAATACTGCTTTGCGCGACATTATCAAAGAGGAGTTGGCGTCCATGACCAGGCCAGCGTATGTAGACTCTCCGATACCTTGACTCCAGCCGACGAACGCACAAGTCCTCGCTGGTTCACCACCCGCCGTACAACCGATGCCCGCACACTAGACGCCTGTCCCACTGGCTTCGTTAACTCCGAGTGCACTTAGTCAGCCCTTTCACCCACCATGGCGGTCATCTTGTCCGATCTGTTATTACTGCGGCTAACGGGGCCACATTGCAGACTTCTGACGGAAGCGTCAGCAGGACGAGCAACATGGATTCGACCCCTACGGACGGACTGATGGGATAAGCAGGTCCTCTTTCCACCGCCGTCCTTATGATCCGCCGCTACGTTGCTCACCGTCTCCAACTGCCACATCTGAGCCAACCCCTCCTTACCGTTCTACTAGACGCCGCTCACCATCACCCCTCCGCCGCTCCACGTCTCCATTGCGACCTATCTTGCAATTCACCAACCAACGCCCGGAAAACTAACCTCTGCAGCTTTTTGGAGGAAAGGTGCATTGAACAAAAAGACAGAAATTTCTCCAGTGCGTCCATATAATACGATATCTGTTTTATTAGTAGGTGTGTACGTGGACGTTTTAAAACACAGGTGCTTGTTTGTCTGTGATTGATCGTTCCTTGTGCTCATGTCTGCGAAAAGTCACCAACCCTTATGATGAACCTACATTGCTCGCTGCTCAAGGGGACGCCATTAGACCTGTTGCTATGTGCACCGCTCGTGTTTTCATAGCTGGCCTTCTCCATTTTGTGCAATTTGCCGTGCTGAGTTCGTGTACCCACCAGCTTATATTAGGCTGGGATTTTCTGTCTACCGCGAACGCTTCCATCTGCTGTCGAGAAAATGTTGTTGATATGATGGAAACTGACTATGCCCTTTATGCAGATGACAAGCCCATTCGCTTGCTCGCTGCGGAAGATACCGAGCTACCACCTGGTCATCAGCGCATAGTTACCATCACTTCAAATGTGATAGACTCTGGTGACGTGTTTGTTCAACCATCTGCATGCTGTCTCGCAAGAGGTATAGCCCTTGCTTCAGGTCTAGCGCGGTTCCACAAAGGCTCCAGACTTCTCTTTGCTACAAACCAAACGTCTGAGAAAGTTCTCATTCCTAAAGGCACCACAATGGCT